CTTCAACTCAAAAAAAAAAAAAAAAAAAAAGACATGGGGTCTTGCTACGAAGCCCAGGCTGGCCTTGAACTCCTGGGCTCAGACTGTCCTCCCGCCTCAGCCTCCTGAGTAGCTGGGGCTACAAGTGTGTACCATCACACCCTAATTTTTTTTTTTTTGAGTCAGGGTCACACTCCGTTGCCCAGGCTGGAGCGCAGGGCCATGCTCACGGCCACTGCAGCCTCGACCTGCTGGGCTCCGGCAATCCTTCCACCTCAGCCTTCCAAGTAGCTAGAACCACAGGCATGCACCCTCATGCCCAGCTAATTTTTCTTGATATATTGTAGAGATGAGGTCTCACCAAGTTGCCCCGGCTGGCCTCGAACCCATAGGCTCAGGCAGTCCTCTCACCTTGGCCTCCCAAAGTGCTGGGGTTATAGGCGTGAGCCTAATTTTTTTATTTTTTGAAAAGATGGGGTCTTGTAAGACCCAGGCTGGTCTTGAACTCGTGGCTTCAAGCGATCCTCTGTCTTCAGTCTCTCAAAGCGCTGAGATTAGGGGCAGGAGCCACAGCACCTGACCCACCTTCTTTTCTTGGGCCAATCCCTGCTTCTCACCCACAGAGACTGAGATCTCACCTGCTTCCCCTGTCCACGGTGCTGACCCAGGAGGAAGTCCTCCTCTCTGTACATCCCCCACAGGCTGCCCCCAGAATTAGGAGGGCTCCCGTCTCCCCAAGACTGTGCCCAGACCCCTCCCCAGACCCGTGTCTCCTGCCTGACTCTGCACCTGAGTCCGACCCCGCTGCCCTCCTGTCCACAGCTAAGCTTCGCCTGCGCCCAGCTGCCCATGATTTATTTCCTGAACCACTACCTATATGACTTCAACCACACGCTGTACAACGTGCAGAGCTGCGGTCAGTTCTCAGGGGGAATGGGGAGGGGTCCCCCAACCTGCTTACGTCTCCTACTCAGCAATCCAGCAGACACGGGGGCCTCTCTCACAGGGTTCTGGACTGGGAGCCCAGCGTGCCCTGATTCTGGTGGGCAGGGCACAGAGTCCTCCCTGTGGGAGTATGTAGTTAGGACACCTGACCCTGCCTGGGGCTGGTGGGCAGAGAAGGCTGCCCGGAGGAGGTGCCATCTGAACTGAAGTTGTTAGTGGAGTCTCTCTTGGTGCCGGGAATACTGTCAGAGTTCAACCAGTGCAGGGTAATTAGTACGGAGATGTGAGGTGGACTGAGCCTCGGGGCAAGGGGGGAGAAATAATTCTTTCCTGGGACGCACACAGCCCCGTGGCCCTGACTGCTCCCCAGGGGAACTGCCTTTGCAGCAGCGTCCGGTCCACCCCCCTCCGCTGCCGCCTGGCTGCTCTGCCTTGTGGCTGGGCTGACAGGGTGCCCTGCCCTTCCCTTCCCAGGCACTAACAGCCAAGGCATCCTCAGAGGCTTCAACAAGACGGTTCTGCATACGCTTCCGCAGAGTCGAAACCTCATCGTGGTGGAGAGCGTGCTCATGGCGGTGGCCTTCCTGGCCATGCTGCTGGTGCGGCCCGGGACGGGCGGGCACCGCGTCCGGGTCCCAGTCGGGAGGCCGGGCTGAGTCCCGGGCAGGGGCCGGAGCGCGGAGGCGTGGCCGATGCCTGCGAGCCAGCCAGGAGCTGGGACCCCGAGGCCGGGAGAGGGGCCGGCCTGGTCTCGGGTCTAGCTGGAGGCCAGGACCCCAGAACTGACCATAAAGGGAGGCAGACCTAAAGGCGTTGGGGGCGTGGCTGAGGCCTGGCTGCGGGTCAGACCGGGCTGACGTCCAAGGGTGTGTTCAGGGGCGGGGCCGGAGGCTGAGGGGCGGGGTTGAGAGGCAAGGCCCAGACCTGTGGGTGCGTTTGAGGGGCGGGGCTGAGGGGTGTGGGCGGGGCTGAGGCAAGGTCCGGGCCTATGGGTGAGTCTGAGGGCGGG